TATAAATTGTTTTGTTTTTTTTGTTTGTTTCTTTTTTGGTTGGGCCAGTGAAAATATTAGCAGGGCGTATAAAAAACTAAGCTACTGGCTTGATAAAAAAAAATTGTAGCCTGATTTGATTAATGTGTATAATGTCTGCTGTGTTACAGCCCTGTCTGGTCACTGAACTTTACTTCTCCTCTGTCCGTCAGCTTCTCATTATATATTCCGGCTCAGGAAGCTTAATTCAATCCATCAGGCACCCCTTCCCCTCCTCATCCTGTTTCTAGCTCTCTCCCTCTTTTTTTTCTCTCCCTTTTTTCTCTCCCTCATTCATCTCAAACTCTGTCTAATTATCGTTAGCCTCCACTGAGCGAATGCAACATTTTCTCTAAAGGAAGCTGAAGAGTCATGGATGGTCTCCAAAGATACATTGAGCCTTTTTTTCCCTGGGTGCACTTTGTGTTTGGTGACTAATAGTCTTGTTTTACGGCTTCACTGGCAGTGTTGTTGTAAAGTCTCCGAACACTGCCATTGATCGTCTTGCGCTGCAGATTTATGAGACACTCCACTGTGACTGTCTAGCAGACAGTGGCTGCCACATTACCCTCATATTGAGCGAAATGGATACACTCTGTAACCTCAATATGTTAAAAACCAAACAAATGTGCAGTTAAACTGATTTGCCTCTTACAGCTGCACCTGTATAAAGATAATGAGGGAATCACATGACCTGTGATGTCACCTTCATCTGATGCCACCCTGTCTTGCCATAGACATGAATTTTCCCTTTTCACACAATTTTTTGAAACGGTCACAACTAAAATTAGAGCTTACATAAGCTCAGTCAATCGGTGAGTCATCAGGCATCAAGATGAATTATTTAATTACGAATTTTGGACCATTTTAGAGCACTGGAGACTAATCATGCAGTTTATTGAATTTGTACTGCAAGTTTCAGCATATGGCTCACAATGGACTGCTAATTAGCTAATCATCCTGTAATCAGCTTGTCATATAGTGAGGGTTTTTTTTGTTTTGTTTTTCAATTTTAGTTTCATTTTAGATTAAAATATTGGGGCCAGTAGGTTTTTTTTAATGTTTTTCTAAAGAAGTCTAGTATGCTCACCAAAGATTGCTTTTTTTTTTTTAGAATTAAAATAATTTAAAACAGAATACTGTGAAATATTTTTAGAATTTAAAATAACTGTTTTCTAACATATTTTAAAATTTATTCCAGTGATGGCCAAGCTGAATTTTCAGCAGTCATTACTCCAATATTCAGTGTCACAAGATCCTTCCGAAATCATTCTAATATGCTGTTTTGGTGCACAAGAAAGATTTTTTTATTATTATAAGAAATTAGTTTGTTAAAAATGTTTATGCTCCTTAATATTTTCAGGATTCTTTGATTAATAGAAATTTCAAAAGAACAGCATTTATTTAAAACAGAAACTTTTTATATATATATATATATATATATGTCTGAATAAAAGTAATAATTTATCATTTAATAATTTAAAAAAAAATCTTCCTGGCCCCAAACTTATGCAACAGCAGTTTATTTTTTTTGCTATCAGACTCATATAATACATAATTTTTTAGTTTGCCACATGGGCTTCTGTTTCCACATTTTAACATTAAATGTGTCTATAAATGTGATAAGAAAGGTTTTGACTAGTAACACTCACTTTGTCTCTATTATGTACCTGTTAAGAGTTTGTATTGCTGTCGTTCTCACTGCTGTCATCTCTTCCTCTCCTTTCTGCTCCCTCTTTGTCATTCTGTCATTGTATCACGTCTTGTCTGCTTGTCTTCTCACTGTCCTCTCATTGTTCCTGTACCTAGACCTAGTGAACCAGTTCTGTGAGCAGGTCCTGAACTTCTTGTTTTGTCCCTACTCTCCTGCCATAGCCCCATCCTCCCCTGGTGTTGACTCCATACCCTTGCAGCGAACAGGAAGTCAGAATGCCACAGGGACGTTTCCCAGAGGTGGCTACTCGTCCGGTCAGGGCGCCAATTACACAGATACTTACCGCACGTTGCCATACTGCTCATCAGTGGAGTCTCCCTACAGCAAGTCCGGCCCTGCCCTGCCACCCGAGGGCAACCTGGCCCGCTCGCCCTCCATTGACAGCATTCAGAAGGATCCCAGGTGAGTCTGCATGCCCATTGGACCTTTTTCATAGTCACAGTAAATGTACCTGGCAAATGTAAATGACAAATGTACTAGGGCTGAGCGATTAATCGAAATCGTCATAAAATTGCGCTTTATAGCACGATTTTCTGCGCCCCCGACCTCCCGCAGTATGCTATCCGAACCAATCAGAATGCAGCGCGCCTAAATGGAGCACGAGAACAGGACAGACCGGGCGGGCATACAAACGTAACGGCAGGTTCACACACTGCGTCTGTGGTGCGTATTTTTTCCGCGCCCATGTTAACGGATCAGAGCGTTCACACAGCACGCGATTGCGGTCCGGCAGTGCGCTCCAGGAGCGGTGCGTCTGCAGCAGTCATGCTGCGATCGTTTCCGCACGGAATCTATTTCTGCTGTGCTGCACGTGCTGAATTAAAGTGGCAGCGCATTATTCGCGGTAAAAATTAACATGGATTGACATGGAAATTTTGTAATTACAATATAAATGCATATAATTAAAGTCTACTGTTTCACAGTCAACACATGGCTTTTTGGCTAGATTTAAAACAAGGAAAAGTGCACTTTTAGATAAACAAGGCAATAATAGATGGCACTCGTGGTGGTAGTTAAACAAAGTTATATTTATTGAGTTTAAACGTGAATATGTCTATAAAAGATTGTATTACTGTACTGTGATAAAAGAGAATCACAATGCTGAAAAAGCATTTTCAGAAACAACGTTTGCAAACGCAAACTGTGCGAAAGCAAAATGAGTCCGTGCTGCTTCTGCACCGCATACACATGCTGTATATGCACTGCAGACGGAGTACATGTGAACTTGGCGCAACAAATCTAGTTCAACATCTGAGGCAGCGCCACAAAGAGCTTTATGACCAATGCATGGCAAAAAAAATAAAAACATATCGATCAAATTTGAGCTGGAAGAGCGGCTGCTGAAGGGGTTTCAGGGGTTGTGTGTGTCACTTTTTGAGGGCCTTTTGCGAAATATTTGACAGTCCTTTCATTTGTATTATGGTGAAATTTATTTATTTATTTATTTATTTTAATTCAAGTTTTAGTTTAGTGTTTTTTTTTGTTGTTGTTAGTTTTGATGTTGTTACTTTTTTATTTTAATTTAGGTTCTTTATTTCTATGTTTCTATTTCTATTGTTCCCCCTTCTATTTTTTTAGGTTTTATTTTAATTTTAGTCTACGTATTGTTCAAAAGTTTGAGTTCGGTAAGATTTTTTAATGTTTTTTAAAAAAGTCTCTTACAGTATGATCACCAAGGGTGCATTTGTTTGATAAAAAAAATACAGTAACATTGTGAAATGATTTTAATATATTATAAAATGTTATTTATCCTTGTGATGGCAAAGCTGAATTACTGCAGTCTTCAGTGTCACATGATCCTTCAGAAATCATTATAATACACATTTAGACAGCCTATCATTTTATAGCCATAATGGAGCAGGAGGCTAATCCTGCTGGGTTTTTATACTGCTGGGTCATCTTTTTCTGTCTGCTGTTTTTCTGTCTTTGAATACGTAAATAAGGTAATAAGGATAAATATTTTAGCATGTGATAAACTGTTTCTCTCGATTATGATGCTGTGTCTTAGACGGCTTCTAAGCATTAATAGACAAATAACTTTTTGTATTTATTTGCATTGATTTAGAGTGAGATTTCTGGCTAAAATAGACTGTTACTTGTTGCTTGTATATTTACTTAGTCAATACCTTTTGGAAGTATGTGGTTTATTTAATGGAAATTAACAGAAATACTGATCAATTTCTCAGAAGGATGATATTTCTAAAGCCCCACGCTGATTATAGATACGCTTCCTCAAAATGTCTGATCATAGAAAATATGAAAGGGAACATACACTACTGTTTTTTGTTTGTTTGTTTGTTTGTTTTTTTTTTCAAAAGATTTCAGTTTCAAATAAATGATGTTCTTTTGAACTTTCTATTCATCAAAGAATCCTGGAAAAATGATGGTTTCAACAAAAATATTAAGCATATTAGAATTATTTTCAACATTAATAATTAGGAGAAATGTTTCTTGAGCACCAAAGCAGCTTATTAGATTAATTTCTGAAGGATCATGTGACACTGAAGACTGGAGTAATGGTACAGGAATACATTTTAAAATATATTAAAACAGAAAACTGTTATTTTAAATTGCAATAACTGACAATATTTTACTGTATTTTTAATCAAATAAATGCAGCCCTGGTGAGCATAAGAGACTTCTTTAGAAAATATTTAAAAATCCTAAATACTTCACATCAAAAAAGCATATTTAGCATATTTTGTGGCTCTGTGTTGTTGTACATATTATTGGATGGATTCTGCATTGCTAATGTGTTTTGTGTGGTTGTTAGGCAATGCTTGGTGGTTGCTAAGGTTTTCTGAATTATTTTATAGTGTTACTATGCAGTTGCTAAGGTGTTCTGTGTGGTTACTAACATACTCTGAGTGATTTCAATGTTTTACTATGCAGTTGCTATGGTGTTTTAGGTGGTTACAAGGGCATTAATAATAGAACTCTTCTCAGCAAACCATACGATTTTAGATATAATTCATGTCCAATGTACAAATTGAGGAATGAGTTATGAGAGTCGCTAACCTAACCCTTAGTATGAAAAAATAGTAACAGTGACACTTGCCTTAGCAAACAATATTATTTTAGAATTGGCTACTGGTGGCTGGGGGTATTAGAATGACATATAAATAATACTTATTCTACACACCTTTCTGTAATAATACACTAGATACCATAAGGCATCATTTTAATATTTTGGTCACACTTTTAGTTTGGGGACAAATTCTCACTATTATCTAACTAGTAACTACATCTTTTGCCTCAATAAACTCCTAATTTGCTGCTTATTAATAGTTAGTAAGGTAGTTGTTAAGTTTAGTTATGAGGTAGGGTTAAGGGATGTATAGTCATGCAAAATAAGGCATTAATATGTGCTTTATAAGTACTAATAAACAGCCGATATGCTAGTAATATACATGCTAATAAGCAACTAGTTATTGGAATTCCTCCCTAAACTAAAGTGTTACCACTATTTCTACAAAAATCAATATTTGTCAGGTTTTCCTTTGTTTTCACACTTTCTCTCAGTACCACTCAATTATAACACATTATTTATTTTTAAATGAGTCATTGATATGCGTGATAGTATTGAGTCCATCAACATTTTTCAAATTTTCCTTTGTTTGAATTCACACTTTCTTTCAGTACCAATCAATTATAACACTTTATTTATTTTTAAAGGAATTGTTTATACGTTTGAAAGTATGAATTAAATCACTAAAAACTTTTATTTTCCTTTTTTTTTTGTTAATTAGACAGCGTTGATCACGTGTTGCCATTATAGAAAGTGGCTCCTCATCTGCTCAGTGTTACAGTGCTCATGAAAAACTCGACAGCAGATAATTAGTCGTGAGTTGTGGTGACATGCACTGGCTCTCATGCACTCATGCTTGGGCTAATAAAGGCTACTGCAGTCTAGCAGTGGTGCTGTTTAGTGTTAGTCTCTGCAGAGCTGATGACTACATACTATTAATGTTGGAGATGTTACTTTGAAATGGTACAAGCTGCTCATAATGTAAAGCAGCTACAGTCAAACAACTAAAAGTTACGTAGCTACTAACACAAAGTACACTAAAACCATTTAAGGAGTCAGTATAGTTTTTTTTATAAATAATATAGGTATTAATTAGCATCTTACTTCCTAAACTTTTGTTTAGTTTATTTGCAGCAATTCAGTCCAGAATATCAAGAGAAAGTTTAGGCATAGCATGTTCTGTTCAATCCCAAAATCATCATTGACAGCCAAACAGACCGCTTGATATGCTGATAAACATGGAATTTCTCCTTATATAGATGTCTGATGCAGAGTCTCTTTGATCTTTATTGTGCACTTTTATAGTCTTTTATAGTGTGGAGGGAGTGTATTTGTTTGAATAGCATCAGCACTAGCAGCAGAACGAGTGTGTGAGCTCTTTAGTCTGAGTGTGACTGAATGTGATTCATATAAAGGCAAGGCTGTGCCTGGAGTCATTCAGCCTGAATGGAGTGCTACTGGGACCACCCACTTTTTCAACAACCTTGGTTGAGGAAGAATTTTTCCCATTAATTTTCTCCATAGGGATTTCAAAAAAAATTCTGAAGAGATCCAAGATTAAAAATGCATTCAAAATTATTTGAAGATAGAAGACTGTACAATATTGCTGCAGTTGACTATATAGTATGCGAAGAAAATGTCTGCCAAAAGAGTAATATGTCCGAATTCATTCGAAAAACAGTATCCCATGAGGCCACGGGAGTGGATCTTATGAATGGCAGTCAAGCGACGCAACTGTCACTGTAGGTCATAATGTCAATATCAACATGACTGATGTAGTACACCTAAATTTCATACTGTATAGAACATACTTTTTTAAGAGTTGTAAAGTAGTTCAAATTTGAATGTAGTACCTACTCAGTATATGATTTCAGATGCACCACATGTCTTTTATACAGCAATGAACTACACATTCCAAGATGCATTGTGAATAATGTAATCAAATCATGATTCATTGAAAAATACTAATTAATGATTGTATATTTAATGTAATTAAAGTTAGTTTTCTTTGTGTAGAGTCATTTGCAATGCTTCATAGGAGTAGGAGTTCATTACATATACTATTTGGCTTGCTTCTCATTGACATGCTAACAGCAGCTTCTCTAAATTGGTGGATCCAACACGGATCTCTCTTCAAGAGTAGTGTGATTCTTTACTAGAATGTTGGCCCTTAAAAATATTTTAAATTATAAAAAAAAATTAAGAAAGAAAATTACCTTGAAATCACATTCATGGGGTCTGCATAATATATTATCATTTAACAATAACACTTTTTATAAAAATCATTGTCTCTAAGGAAACAATTAATGGTGTTTTTACTTCAGGAATCCTTTTGCTCTATTGGATTTATGAGTGAACATGAATGACTTAAACA